ATGTTGTGGGAGAAACCCAGGGGAAGATAATTGAATCATGGTCTTTCCTGTGCTATTCTTGTGATATTGAATAAGCCTCACGAGATCTGATGGGTTTATCAGGGGTTTCTGCTTTTGCTTATTCCTCATTTTTGTTTTGCCACCACCACGTAAGAAGTGTCTTTCACCTCCTGCCATGATTCTGAGTCCTCCCCACTCAAGTGGAACTGTAAGTTCAATTAAACCTCTTTTCTTCCCAGTATTGGGTTTGTCTTTATCAACAGCATGGAAATGGACTAATATACCTAGACATAAGTTAAAGTCATCCACATCTAGAGATGAGCAAAAAGCTAGAAATAAAAGTATCTTATTTTAATTTGTTGAGCTTATTTTTTTCTTTCACAGTTATGGTTAACTAGACTAGTTAGAAATCACTGCCACCCAATATCCTCACCCGGAATATTACTTCTTGGGTCACATGATGCACCAAAGCCAGGTCAGAGAATCAAAGGAAAAGATGAAAGCCACGACCTCACATCCATAAGCAAAAGAGAAAAAAAGAGAAGAAAAACAAGACCCTAGCAAATTTGCAAAACACTTGGGGAGAAAAAAAAAATGTAGCATTCAATTTACAGAAAAAGGTGTTTAATGCCTAGTAACCTCCACCCCTAAGTACAGAACTCCTTTTTTTTCCTGACTACTGCGATTATTCCTTTGGCACTAGAGCTGTGAATGATTCTTTATATTATAAAAAGTTTTTTTCTCCTCGTTTGCTAAATTATATGAGCTAATTTAAATTATGAAAGCAAAATTTGACTTTTGCCTTTGTCCATGTAACACAGTGGTTCTCAACCAGGGACAATATTGTCTCCCAGGGATCATGTGGCAATATCTGGAGACATTTTTGGTTGTCACAACTTGTGGGAGGGACAACTGCTACTGGCATCAAGTGAGTAGAGGCCAGGGATGCTGTTAAACATCCCACAAGGCACAGAACTGTCTCCTCCTTCTCACTAAGCCTCATTCCAAAAGAATCATTGGATCATTATTCAAGGTCATAGATCTATTTAGAGAAAGCATAGGATACTTACAGCACACCCTGTGATCCAGATTAACTTGGTGTGGATATAGAGATCTGATGCACAGATCTACCTTCAAGGAATGAACTGCTGTCCCAGCTGTTCCAAATACTATCAGCAAACAGCCTCTAGTTGCCAGCTGAGCTGCTTCAAGGTTTGATTCAGCTGCAGGGGCCATCCTCAGCCAAGGCCACGCCCTTCCAACTGTGGACCACAGCCAGTGACTGAATGCAGCAAGGACATAAAGGCCTGGCCATTTCAGCCCACCATGGGACAACTCTGATGGGATAAATATACTCCAGAGCTTCCATAGGAGGTTTGGCCAGCATTGCAATTCAACTTCTCCTCTTGGCCAATCCTGCTTCTCTCTGAAGATTTTAACCCATCATGTACATCCTTCTTCTTAGTCCCTGAATGAGCATCTGCTGCTGGAGGATCCAACCTGGGACCAGACTCCTTTGCATGGGAAGCTTCTGAGAAGAAAAATTGGGGGAACCATAACACTCCACATAGAAAATAACCAGAAGAGCTTTATGGCACACACACAACTGCTGAAGAAAGGTGCTGAGGGAAAATCAGTGGGTGTGGGCTCCATGTCAAAGTATGAATAACTGAGCTACAGAATCAGGTTAGAAATGCCCCTGAGACATTAACCATGGCTTATTCAAATTAAAGAAAGCTATATGGTTTTTAAAACTCAAAAAGCCTGCTCAATGCTGGCAAAAACAAACAAACAAAAAACCTTCCTCTGAAGTTACATTGGGGTATTTCAAAACAAAACCCAAAAAAGTGCTTTATTGTGTCAGTGAAAAAGGACAGCAATTGACCTGTCCAAAAGAGCAGTAATCCCAGCACCCCGAGGCTCCCAGGCTGTTCCACACCCCTCAGCCACTAGACTGAGTCATCTCTGACCACAGATACATATCTTTATAAGAGGAATCAACTGAAAGGTTCTGCTTTGACTGGTTGTGGGCTCAGAAACCCTGGCGGTTACTCAAGCTGACTAGGATCTCAGCCTGGGAACACACCTCTCAACCATGAACCTGTAGAACATGAACCTGGCTATTTTTAGCACTGAGCTGTACCAACATGGCTGAACCATGAAACCTTGACTTTTGCAAGAGATTTTCATCTGTGTGAAATAAAAATTAGAATATATTTATTGCAGGAGAGGGTGGGCCATAAAAATGATTTAAAAGTTATTTGAAACTGAATGAAGAGTTTACACATGCCGGTGTGCAAAGAACTGTATTTTATGGGTCATTATAACTTGTGTACTTATGGATATTCATTTTTCAAACATTGCATTTTTCTCTATTCTGGTTTTACATGTAGGCATTTATTCCTTACAGGTGATACCAGCTTTTACAATGCAAAACCACTTCTGGAAATTGTATCTCAAGTGAATCTTCATAAAAATAAGCATAAGTGTTTGCATTTGTCAGTTAGGAAATGTTTAATGTCAGTGAGATGTTCAATAAATGAGCAGGTAAAATTGAGAAGAAATACACAAAAATGTTTATTAAACAGTATCAAACAAGCAAAGCAGGAAAAGGTAGAGATTTCTAAAGAGCTAGTCCTTATACCCAGCTTCAAAGAAAATCTGGTAAATAAACATTAATCTAGATCCAAATGTTCTAATGTCCTAGGCAATCTACAGTCGGCACACCATAAACCTAGCATTGTGGAGCTCAGGGTCCAATTTGGATGATTTTTTTGCACATGCTTCACCTTAGAGTTTCACAGACACTCAAAGGCAGCCTGTTGAGACCTGTGTTCCCCAGCCCAAGGCAATGAGAGCGAGAGACCAATTAGAAAGAAAAGATGCCTGAAGAAGATGGACTGCCATCATAGGACCTAGATCCCACTAGAAAAGGAACAAACAGAAGAACAAAGAAAGAGACAAAGAAACCTTTTGCTGGGGACAGAGGGAAACAGGCAGCCATCCTAGAAAGCCTCTGTGGACACCAGAGAGAAAGGTCTCATTGAAACACTGAGACCACCAAGTACAAGAGTGACCACCAAGTACAAGAGCCTCTGAAATGAGGAGCCAGTCAGAAATTTCCTATCAGAGAGTCTGAAATTCATGGTTCTGTCTCATGAAATTAGGTCCCTGCTATATACACTCATGTACTGCATAACAACGATATGGTCAATGGTTAGATACCTGATAGTGATCTCATAAGATTATAATGGAGCTGAAAAATTCCTATCACCTATTAGCTGTCATAATGTCTGTCACAGAACAACACAGTATTCATCTGTTCGTAGTGATGCTGATGTGAACAAACTTACTACACTGCCAGTGGTATAGAAATCTAGCACAATTATGTGCAGAACACACCATTTGATTATGGTAAAGGACTATGCTATTGGTTTATGTATTTACTATATTATACTTTTAATCATTGTTTTAGAGTGTATACCTATTTATAAAGAAAAAGTTAGCTATTAAAGAGCCACAGGCATTTCCTTCAGGAGATATTCCAGAAGAAGGCATTGCTATCATAGAAGATGGCCATTCCATGCTGTCATTGCCCCTGAAGACCTTCCCCGGGGGACAAGATGTGGAGGTGGAAGACAGTGATATTGATGACTATGACCCTGTGTAGGCCTAGTGTACGTGTTTGTGTGTTCTTTTCTGACAAAGGAATTTAAAGAAATTTAACAGAAAAGAAGCTTATAGAATAAGGATATAAAGAAATAAAATATTTTGTATAGCTGTACCATGTGTTTGTGTTTTAGGCTAAGTGTTATCACAAATGACTCAATGTTTTTAAAAAGTTTTAAGTTTATAAAATTAAAAAATTACAGTAAGGTAAAGTTAACTTATTCTTGAAGAAAGAAAATTTTTATCTAAATCTATGTAGTCTAAGTGTACAGTGTTTGTAAAATCTGCAGTAGTGTACAACAATGTCACATTCACTCACCACTCACCCACTGCTCACCCAGAGCAACCTCCACTCTGCAAGCTCCATTCATAGCAAATGCCCTATATAAGTCTACCATTTTTATCTTTTTTACCATATTTTTACCGTGCTTTTTCTATGTTTAGATTTTTTTTGACAAATCAAAAAGATAGTATATTTTCATTTCCCTCAGGAAGTTCATATATATATATATATAATTGCATATATATATATGAAATTATATATATATATAAAATATATATATTTATATATATATAATTGCATATATATATAATTTCATATATATATGCAATTATATATATATATATATATAATTGCATTTTATGTTCTGGGGTACATGTAAAGAATATGCAGGATTGTTGCATAGGCACATACATGGCAATGTGGTTTGCTGCCTCCATCCCTATCACCTATATCTGGAATTTCTCCCCATGTTATCCCTCCCCAACTCCCTACCCCCCATCCCCCCCCAGTCCTCCCATCCACAGGCCTCAATGTGAGATGCTCCCTTCCCTGTTACACAAATACAACTGTGTTACAATTGCCTACAGTATTCAGTACAGTAATATGCTGTATAGGTTGTAGCCTGGAAGCAATAGGCTATGCCATACAGCTTAGGTGTGTGGAAGGCTATACCATCTAGGTCTGTGTGAATATACTCTGTGATTACGCAATGGCAAGATCATCCAATAATGCATTTTTCAGACTGTATCCCTTTTATAAAGTGACACATATAAAGATATATATGCAGATGTATATATGTGTATCTATGTCTTCCTGCATATGTATATTTATGTGAGTATATGAATATATGTGTGTAGACACACATTCATACTTATATATACTTACCTACATAGGCACATACATATGTACATGAACATACATATGTACATGAACATACATGCATATAGCAACACAGACATTGAAATGTTTGTTTTTGGTTTTTTGCTGCTATAACATAATAGCACAGCCTGGTTAACTTATAAAGAACAGAGAAGTTTATTTGGCTCACAGTTCTGGAGACTGAAGTCCAAAATCAAGGGGCCTCATCTCTTGAGGGTGAAGGTCTCCACATGGAGATAGAGGATGAGAGCACTACAGACAGAGAGAGAAAGGGGATAACACTCATCCTTTTTATCAGAAACTCACTCTTGAAATAATGGCATTAATCCATTCATGAGAGCAGAGCCCTTATGATCTAATAACCTCTTAAAAGTTCCACATCCCAACACTGTTACATGGTCGTTAAATTTCAACATGAATTTTAGACAGCCATAGCACCTTGGAACTCAGCTACATAAAGAGCTTTTTAAGAAATAAGCCCAAAAGTCATAGACTTATCAACGACTATTCCTCTAATCATATTCTCAACAAAGAACAATTTTGTTAAGGGTTACAGACTCTGCCTTGTGGCCTTATGTTTGCCACCTGAAATCTTCCTAAGTTCTCCAAGATATCTAAGCATGCTTGATATTCTTTGGGTAAATGACAAAACAAGCAGAGACTGGCCTATCATTATGTATTTTTACTTTTCTATATTCTGTTCTTGGTGGTAAAAGTAGAAAAGGATTTAGGAGATGCCATGTTAACATTTGCATTAATTCACACTTTCTTTGGAAGTTTAATCCTATCAGTCAGGAAATGCAAAATTTAAGGTTCTTCCATTTATGTAAATTTACATGCTTTTAATTGGCTGCATTTTTAATCACTAGGGAGCATCTATTATTTTATTGTCCCATTTTTACAAGACAGCAAGTTAAATTTCATTTGTAGCACTTAATTGTCAAATTACTCATCAATTTTGAGCTCAAACTAACTACATTTCCATTGCTCAATGCAGAATACTGTTTAAAAGTGTACATTTTGCACATCCAAAATGACATGCATGCACAATGACTTTACAATTCACATTGCTAAATGAAGTCACAGAGCAATACGCAGATTAGTAAGCCAAAAACCTAAAGCTTTTATAAATGCATGAAGGTAGCCTCCCATACCCACATCCCTGTCTTCTCCAACTCCCACCATCTCCTTCTCCTTTGGGCACCTCAATGATCATTCTCACTTCAACCAGGGAATAAGCAAGTGGAAAAGAAAAGCATGAAATTCAAATCAGCTTGTTGCTTTTTAGTAGACTCTTCAAAAGGTTTGTGGGAGAAAAAGTCAAAATTAATGGCTAAAATGAAGTTTGGAGAATATGTTAGATTTCATTTATTTATGCTCTCTGCATTTGCCCAGCCCATTAGCACTAATAATTGAAAGTTTGTTTCATTTATCATAGCCCACTAACCAAAAGCTATTGTTTTAAGTCAAGACCATGAAAACAAAGTAAGATTTTTGTTTTTGCTGCAAGAGGGACTATTATAAAAGTAAACTAAATGACTTCAAGGAAGACAAAAGAGCTAGTTACCAAAAGAGGTTAAAGAATCGTCCTCTCTGAAGATTTTTAGAAATCCAACAAACAATTCCTTCAATGGGGACGTGTTTGGACACAGAGAAATCAATCTGTAATTTCTTAAGGTCCTATGCTTTATAGTTTTACATTAACTCACTTTTTAAAAGGGGAATCTGTTAATTATTTTAAAAACAAGGAACAATTTGGTATGGCTTAATTAATGATAAACAACCCAGAAGTCCCCAGTCCTTCTCAAACTGTGATTACAAAATTTAGCTGCATTTCTGTTAAAATTCAATGTACAATGACCCAAATCTCCACATTTCTAGAATAGTAATAGTGTCCCCTTCTCCATTCATATGCACAAATTATGCAAGATCCCAGGTTTTTAAATTCTGGTTTGTGAGTCAAACATCCTGTGTAGAGCTCCACAGCTTTACCTTCCAAAGAAGCTTATCTGCTGATCATGGCTCTCATGATTTACTTCAGCAGTAACTATTGAAACCTGAATATCCTACAGAAATGACCCTGTCCCCAGAACTATGCCCCCTGTTTGCACAGCTACTAAGGAAGTGTTCTGTTGATGAACCTAGAGTTTGGCAGTTTCTTGAGGTATAAAGAGAAACACCCCTCACTCACAAGGACAAACTAAATCAAAAAAGAACTGCTTGGGCCCCAAGCATTAATTGTTTTTGTAGCTCCTTTTTGGCTCATTGAATCTATACCCATGGTATTTTTAGACAGAGAATTGTTATTCTTACCCCAGAAAAACTATGCTCCAAATCAAGTTGCATGAGAAATTTGGGCTATGCATATTGAGGTAGGAATATTTAGCTTCAGTTCTCATCTGCTTCTCTCCAGGTACCACGTGCAGCTTGACCACATGGTAAACCATAATCTTGAATAGCAAGCTCTGCATTTCCCGAGGGAAATCACAATGGCTCAACTCAATGTTCCTCACTAAACAAACATTTATTAGATACCTATTGCTAGTATACATTGCATGTGAACATAGGAAGACACCTGCTGTGCCTTGCTAGAGGAAACAGAAGACACTGTGTGAACATCTCAGAGACACCTGATCCAGTCTTGGGGGATCCAGAAGTTTTCCTGGAGGGAGTGACATCAAAATTGCGACCTGCAAGAAGATCAGGAGGCTGTCAGGTAGAAAAAGGTAAATGAGTATATTTCAGGAAAAGAAAGTAATTTTACAAAGGACTACACACGCAGAAGGACGTGTGCTCATGAAACTTCACATGATTCAGCACAGCTGGGGCAGAATAGCAGTGAGACATCACTAGAGCTAGCTGTCAAGCATCTTGAATGCCATGCCGAAGAACTGGAGCTTTATCTTAAGGCCAGAGAGACAAGTTGTTAATTGCTTTTAAACACAGGAGTGATAGGATCAAGTTTGTGCTTCAGAAAGGTAATTCTGAAAATCTGTTGTAGAAGACTGAGGTTGGAGCCCCTTGGTAGCAGTACAACATACTGTTAGTTTATAAAAAATAATACAATTTCCTGAAATAGGTAGAATTTGATCTGGGCCCTGGAGTTAGAGAAAGGCCGTTTAGGACTAGCAACAGCATGGATAAGGTTAAGGAGAAAGAAAAATGCAAGGACAAATTGTGTAATGAGTGGAAAGTTGACTGGGCCAAAGTGTGGGCCTTGAGAAAAAATTTGGTATGCAATGATGTTACGAGAGTAATTGGAAACAAAATCAGATATCTCAAACTTCCCGCTGACTAATTTTATTCTGATAGCAATGCAGACATTTTAAAGCGTCTTGACATGATCCAGTTCTAGAAAGATGATTTAAGGAGTGAAGAAATGTTATTTTGTACTCTGTACTGAGACATGAGCTTTTCAGTGGAAGAGATCATCTCATTCCTATCTGAATTTTCAGGACCTTGTCATACATTCAGTAAGTGTTCAATAAATACTTACTGTTTATCCAGAAGATGGCTGGATGGATGGGTGAGTGGATGTATGAATGGATAGATGGATGAATAAACAGATGAATCATTGCACTCCTGAGATATGTGAGCTTTGGGTGAAATAATTTATCTGAGCAAACAAAAACCTAGGAAACCTATAAAATCGGCAATGGGACCTTCACCATGGCCTGCAGAAGCTAACAGAGAAAAATATCTTCTTTATCCTCTCTAATGAGGTCTGCATCTTGGTTCTCAACAACTCTTAAGTGTCTCTCCCAAAAATATTCTGTGTGAACTATCCATTGAGACATTGTTTCCTTCAAGACTTTCTTCAAAATCTTGAACTTTAATAGCTGAGTTCCCACTTTCCCTGAGGAATAAGGCAAAGGGCTTCCCTTCCTGAGATCATATACTACACCTTGGGTACAGAAATGAAAATACATTACATTTTATAGGGCAGCCATGTATTCTTTTCCCCAGAAATGAACATTACTTCTCACACCTAAAATAAAACTCTTAGAACCAGCTTCTTAATTAAAAAGCATAAGTTGTTTCCTTGATTAATTGCACAGTGCAGAAAAAAAGACTATGTAGGAGGTAATAATTTATGGTAGCAATTTGAGGTGGTTTTGTCTTAAACTTTCCATGGTTTCATAGTGCAGATTTTGGAAAACATAGTAATTTGTCAAAAAGGGAAGGGGGTGGAGGAAGTAAAATAAATATTTAAGCCCAGAGAGATCATTCCAACAAATGTTCATTCTTAGATCATCTGTTCTTCATTTCATGATATATGTTATAAACAACAGCCTCACTCCAGTTTTTGCATTGCTGAATACTTTAAAATTCAACAAATATGTTAGTGAACATATATAATGTATTGTTGTAGTTTGCATTCACAGATAACACTACTAATGGAGTTGTTTGCCTTGTATACGGGTAAGGTTAAAAATCTGAGAGACATGAACAGTCTTTCCACATGGGCAGATGCATGGGAGGACTGTCTTATTTTTATAGTTCTAGAGACCATTTTAGAACAAGTCATTTCTTATGACTCTGTCTTTGCTCAATGGGTTACCAATGTCTTTGCTCTAAAAGAGCTACGTGAATTTACTCACTGCCAAGTGGGTCTTTTGGCTGCTGCTATACCCAGAATATCTTAACAGTATAGCAAGGCTGTAAATTGTATTTCAGGATAATAAGTTAACATTTCTTCTCCTGGAACCTACAGTCATCTCCTGTTTCAGATTTCCACAAAGCTACTAGTTTTTCTATCTTTGGGTATGGGAAGAACATAGCATTAGGCGGTATTAGCAACTACAGGTACATGGTTAAGTTTTACAATTTACAGAAAGGTAAACAAGTAAACCAGAAATGCAAACACACAATATTGTAAGTTTATCTAAAAGCCAAATTTATTCCATTTAAGTTACTGAACTTCTTTTCATTGTGTTAATATCATGACATCTACCCTCTTAACAATTTTTAAGTGTACAATATAGTCTTGTTAACTATAGGCACAATTTTGTACAGCAAACTTATTCATTCTTCATAGCTGAAACTTTAAGCATGCTGAGTAGCTACTCCCCATTTCTCCCCATCTCCCTTCTCTTACAACCACCATTCTACTCTCTGTTTCTATGTGTTCAAATTTTTTAGATTCCACATCTAAAACAAGATCATGTAGTATTTGTCTTTGTGTGCCTGGCGTATTTCGCTTAGCATAATTTTCTCCGGGTCCCTTCATGTTGTCACAAATGACAGGACTT